CATTACCCACCCAGCAGATGCCCTGGTGTGCTTTGAACATGGATCCTGCTGCAGAGTCAGAGCCCTGGGGCTGGAATGGCTCTGGCTCTGTGGGCTCCCCTTGTCCAGCCTGGAATAAACATCCTCCCTCCCCATCCTGGAGGAGCCACTCTGGCCAGGACACATCCAAGCTGGCTCAGCTGTTTAACTCCAAGGATAACAGGTGGGATATGAATATTTCTTATGTGCTTGAAGAAAATAGCCATCAGCAAAAACAAACACTGCTGGGTTTTTTTATTCCATTTAAAGCTCCAGACTGGTTTTTTTTTGTCCATAACCAAAGCCATGAGTATTTACAACAGACTTTTCCTACTTAGGCAAAAGAGTAAAAGGGGAGAGGGACTTCAGACCTCAGTATAGGTCAGAGGGTGGAGACTTGATGATCTTGGAGGTCTTTTCCAACCTTAATGAATCCCTGGTTCTATACGATGTTTTTACAAAATTCCCATTAGCAGCATGAAAGCACAAACTTGACTGAAGTGAAGGCAAGGCTGGAAGAGGAGAGGAAGGAATAAGTCTTTGCAAGATCTCAGAAAATTTCCGTAGAAGTAGAACAGTCTGAAGGAAGCATTAATTTGGGGGGGGGGAAGGAGTTCTGATTTCTTCAGATTTTTTATGTTAGCTGAATATGTCAAAACCAGAGTATTCCCTTGTCCTCCTTCTCCTCTGACCCCCTCTGTACCAGAACAGATCTCTAAATAAGCATTTAGGTATTACATGCTCAGGGTTCATCAACCAGCTTTGGAAATGCTACATTATCTCTTTTTTAAATCTGTCTCTGAACGTTCAATTCCACTGATTTGAGGCCAACAAGAAGAGCTGGATCTCCCGAGCATGTTACAGCTCAGCCTTTTATTAGAGTGAAATGCTCTTTATTCCTTCAGCAACCAGGGCTGGCAAAGCACATCTCATTGTTTACTGAGGACTTTGATATCCTTCACTGAAGAGCACTGTGGTTATTGCCATCCCTGGATCCATGCCCTGTGGAGCTGAGCCGGGTTGGAGAGGGGCACGTTTGGGAATGGGATCCAAGGAGCCACTTAACAGAGGCAGGTCCGAAAAAAACCCTCTGGGCAGTGGAACTCTTCCTGATGGGCACAATATCTGTGACGTGGCTTATTGCTTTCCCTGCTCCTCTTGCATCTGTGGTGCCCAGTGACAGGACCTGAAGTTGTGCCAGGGCAGGGTCAGGTTGGATCTCAGGAGAGTGGTTGGGCACTGACCAGGCTCCCCAGGGCAGTGGGCACAGCCCCAAGGCTGCCAGAGCTCCAGGAGGGTTTGGATGATGCTCTGGGGCACAGGGTGGGACTCTTGGGGATGATCCTCTACAAGGCCAGCAGCTGGACTCAGTGAACCTTGTGGGTCCCTCCCAACTCAGCATATCCTGGGATTCTGTGATCGTTTAAAAGCTTCTTTGCACGCTCTGAACTGACCTATATTTTTAAGGGGAAAAAAAAGCATTATTTGTGAGCGTCAGCCTGCGCTGTGTTTTCTGTCACTCCTGTTGTGCCCCTGCAGGTCATGTCCCGCTGTGTCACGTCCAGCAGGTCGATGTGACACGGCCCAGTGGCAGGGACAGCGAGGCAGAGCCACTTACCCCAAACAAGGGATCCCTCCCGAGGGATACCCAGTCAGTGGCACATCCATGTGGGATGGATCCTTTGCAGATTGGATAGTGGTGCCCCTCAGCCCGTGCCTGCAGCCTCTGGGTTTGCAGCTGGGAAATGCATCCCTGCATCCCGAGAGGAGCCGGGAGACGCAGGCGGCACTAATGGCACTGCCAGGCTGCTGTTTGCAGGGACTGGAGGGAAGCAATTCCAGCCTTCCCACGGTTGGGAAGTGCTACTCAGCTCCCTTTCTTCTAGGTAAGGAAGAAAACTTTGTTAAAATCTCTTGTAGTATGAAGCAAACACAGTCAGGAATACACCAAGTGCTCTGCAACGTGCTGCAGCAGTAAAGCCAAGGGAGGTAAGGCAGGAAAATCAGGATGTTAAGGCAGGACAGAAATTGGTAAGACAAGCTCAGATGACCTCAGTGCACCCCCTCAGGGAGGCTGGGGGATGGCTGGGCATCCAGAGCTGTCCTGGGGTGGCCATGAGGATTTGCTCCAGCTGAGGACCAGCCCCGTGAGCGTTGAAGCTGCTCAGAGCCTGCAGTGACACCCCACAGGATGAGCCCCCTGTGCTGCCAGAGGGGCTGGAGAGCAGGGAAAACCATGGAAAACTGCAAAGTGCTGTTTCTGTAACACAAAAAGCGTGTTCCTGAAAATGCTGGCGTTGAAAGGAAGGCTGAGAGGGAGCTTTGCTGCTTCCCTGAGCCTTCAGTGACACCTACAGTCAGTCACACACAGCCCAGCACGGCCCCAAGCCCTGCCTGGCTCCTCATCCTCCCAGGGACATGCAGGAAGGGGCTCCAGGTGCACCAGGAGAGGTTTGGGTTGGATATTAGGAAAAATTCTGTAGTGGAGGGGTTGTGCAGCCCTGGCACAGCTGCCCAGGGCAGGGGTGGAGTCCCCATCCCTGGAGGGATTCGAAGCATGTGTAGATGTGTCATTTGGGGACATGGGTTACTGGTGGCCTTGGCAGTGCTGGGGGAATGGTTGGACTTTTCCAACCTAAACAATTCCATGATTTCATGAAACCTGTGGGCTGATTTTTGGAGGAGCCAGGCACTGAGTTCCTGCATCTGCAGGAGCTCTGCTGAGCTGCTCTGGTCTTTAGCAAACACACATTTCTTTATATTCTTTATATCTATATAGAATATAAATTCTAGAATTCTATTATAACTCTATATTCTATAATTCTAAATAAATATTCTAACTATATTCTCGAATATAAATATATTCTAGAATTGTATAGAATTCCATAATACAGAATATATACCAGAATTCCATTTGAGAATATATTCTGTATTCTACAATCCTATACGATTATATTCTATATTCTATTCCATATATTTGTATTCTTCATTCTTTACATGTTTATAAAATAGATGAACTTCTGATGCTGAGAGGAATTTCAGTGAGTGATTCCATGCCTGAGCCCCACTGCTGGTGTGGGTATTCCTGTAGCATCCTGAGCTTGGGATGCTCTGGGTCTTCCCAAATTTCAGTTGCAGCAACACCAAGTGACTGGAAAATCCTGATACATCAATTATACAAAAATAGTGCCATAAATCTAAGCAACAATTAAGCATTGTTTTAGTCATATGCACTGATACTGCTTCTGCCTAAGAAATTTTAAATGTATTAATCATTTAATTGTATTAATTAGTTAAGCCTCATAATACTTACTGTGGTTGTGTTAAGAGTTACTCTGGTTAGAAGAACCAAAATATAGATGAAATAAATTTGTCCAAGATAACACAGCCAAGTCCCCAAGGACTTGATCTGAAATCCATACAGACAGAGATTAAATCTTTTTCACCACCTCCTGTACACTTTTGATAAGGTCTTCAAAAATCCAGGAACAGCTTTGCATCCCCTGGATTTCAGGGAGTAGTTCTGTCCTGTCCATATCTTTGTTGCTGTATCTTTATTATTTTAGCAGAGGCTTAAGCATCTGGGCAATAGTCTCTGGAAGAAGCAGTTAAGATTTTGGTGTCATATCCCAGAGACTGAATAATGCTGGTATTATTTTAGCATGACAGTGGTGCAGAATAGATTTTTGGAATAAGCAAAAATATCTATCTCTATATGATTTTCAGACTTTTGGTCTCATTGTTAAGCAATATTTTGTCTCCTTTTCATTTCCTCTGAGGCCCTTTAGAAAAAATTACTGCATTTTTGTCAACAGAAATGAAAGAGGAATGTCAGCTTTGGAGGCAGAGGGAATTCAGGGGCACAGACGAGGAGCTGGAGTCTGCATAATGTGTCAGGGCTCATCTTTCTGTGCCACCATTTTGCTCCTACTGCAGGACTCAAGTGAAAAATAGACCATTAAACCAGTGGTGAAGGATCTGTGTGAATTCCAGCTGGGAATAAGGGATTAGTCTGGAAGTGGAGCTGCTGCCTGTATTTAATGGGCAGAACTTGCTGCATCACAGATCCCTGGAGGTTTGGGGGCTTCCCTTTGGAAGTGTCATGTTTAGGGCAGTGCCCTTTTTTCTGCTTCATCTCCCTAAAATAATTCCTCAGTTCTAGTCCAAAAGGGCAGTGACATCTGGAGTCACCACCCCCAGAGCCACATCCCACCCCAAAACCCCTCTCTGACATCACCACAGCACTTGGCTTGTTGGGGCAGGGTTTTGGTGTCCGTGGCATCAAAGGTTTGGTTGGTATCTCTCATTATTTATATTTATTCTTTCTGAGGACTCTCCTGGCACAAAGAAAACAGCCTGGCTTTGAAATGTCAAACCACAGAGACCGTGGCCAGTGTTCTACACAATCACCGAGTTTGCAATAAAAATGAGGTACAACAGTAACCTCAGCCAATTCTTTCCCTTTCCAGATGTGAGCAGATATCACTCATGTTTTTAATATCCCCTTCTTCATTCTAGTTTTGGAGATTTTACGCTGAGAGAGTTTTCTTGAGGCAACATTTATTACAGGGACAACAGAATAGGTTTTTATAACCATGGTGAACAATGTGTGACTGTGAAACAGCTCTTTGAAGTAAGAAGATTCAAAGAAGAGAATCTCTGACTTCCAGGCTTTCTCAAAAATTTTAACCAAGCCTTTCAGATCTGCTGCACTCTTTTCCAGCCCTTTCTTTTCTCCTTCTTCATCAGGATGGTGAGTGGAAGAGGATTTTGGTGGGTTTATTAGCAGTGTTTCAATCCAACAACTGGAGAAAGGTGTTGGAGGATAAAAGCAAAGATGGGATAGTTCACTTGTTACATTAAGGATCTTCCTAAGTGATCACTGCAGTTGTGGGAGACTGCTTAGGATCTCTCTCAGCTCTACGTATTCCTCAGGAGAACCAGATTAATGCTCTTTTCCCCCCTTTCTTTATTGTTTGTAGATCCAACCCGGGTCATGGTGTCACCTTTCAGCATGGATGTCACCGTTGGGGAGAGCATTGTCCTGCCATGCCAGGTCTCTCACGACCACTCCCTGGATATCATGTTCACCTGGTCATTTAATGGGCACCTGATAGACTTTGAGAAGGATGGGGATCACTTTGAAAGAGTGGGAGGGGTAAGTATTAACTCTAAAGCATCTCCTCACTGTACTAAAAGCAGGTAACAATAGAAAAGGACTGCTAAGAGAAGGAATGGACTTGGCTAAGTCAGTCCTGGAGGGATTGAATAGCCATGTGGACGGTTTAGTGGTGGCCCTGGCAGTGCTGGATTAATGGTTGGACTCAAAGATCTTAAAGGGCTTTTCCACCCTAAATGATTCCATGTTTCTGTGTTGTCTTCTGTTCACAGGCTGAGATGAACATTGCCAGTGTATTAGTTCATTAGAGTGGTGCAGAGTTGTTATGATTTCCTTCGTGGCATGACAAATCTGCTCAAATGAACAGTGGGAGGGACATCAGGAGACCTAAAATATGTTTTCTCATTGCAAAAAACTGCCTCCTCCTTCAAGGAAGAAATCCATAATAGATTTTCTCTGTCTGAAACAGTAAAATAAATGTAAACTGTAAACCATTGTAGAACTTTGTATTTATAGAAAAAATAGCAGGAAATCAGACAATATCCTCAAAAATGCTCAGACAGGGTTTGTTGCCATGTTTATCTGTCTCTGTCTGTGTCCTCCTCTTGTGACCACATGCTTAGAATAACTATTTTTCCTCTACACAAAGTAACCTGCAGAGGATTGCAAATATCCCCCACCCCTGGAGGTGACATTTCTTCTCAGTCTTACCTGTGCAGGTTTCCTGGCAATGCCACCTTGGTGTCTTTGGGTTGTTTGGTTAATTTTTTTTGTTTGTGGGAAACCCAGTCAGTACCCACTGACAGTGTAAACTTCTGCAATGCCCAGAGAATTGTTTACTTGAAGGTTGAAAAGTTCATGTTCCTGGAAAGCCAGGAGAGGGACAAGTGGGAAATGATGGTTGGACAGTCCATGGCTGCTGCTCAGGACCATGGTGGAGTGGCAGATGGGGGAAGCAAAGGTAGGAAAGTAGGAATTGCTGACCCTCATTAGGAGAGGAGAGAATTTTCTTGAGGCATTTGGCATTTTGTGCCTCTGAAGGAAGGTTTAGGACCGGAGCACCCTCAGCAGGGCAGAGGTGCCCTGATGGTCCATCTCTGCTTGGCTTTCTCTGCTCCTACCTCACTTTTGAAGGGCAGGTTTTTAAGTTAAAATAAAACTACTTTTCTAGTAGTTTTAGATTTCCTGAAGATGTTGAGGCATAAATTTTGGGGATTGGATACCTCAGGATGCCAACTGTTAGAGGGGGGCTTCACACAAGGAGGTGGCACATCTGTCAGGCCTGCCCCAGCCTCTCATGCCAGTTTTATGGCTCAAAATAATTCCCAAATAATTTTTAGTAAGAAAAGCAATGATTTCACAGACCATCTCTGAAAGCTTTGCTTTGTAACCATAACATTTTCCTTTGCAGTTCAGAGTTCATCTAATTTACCCTGTTTAGGTAGGGCTTGGGTTGTTTAAATTCTAGCTTATCCTTCCTCATGATTTTTTTTTTCACTTCTATTTGGTGAAAGGAGCTCTAAAAATGAGGGAAAAATGCAAAATTTTCATCAAGGGTTTTTTCTGTGTCTCTAAAGGAGGCTCAACAGAGCTGTGGACTCTGCTGAGTCTCAGGCAGAGTGACACTCTATATTTACATTTTTCAGGGGTGAAATTTAATGCTGAAAGGAAAAGGAAACACAATTTCCAAGCCTTAAAAGATGCCCTTAGAGATTGATGCCCAGGGTGCACATCAGCAGCCATGGCTTTTTGGGGTGACTGCACATGCTCGGCCTGCAAAGCTAAAATTCCAAACTTGATTAATATTTCTCAGTCAAAAAGCCACAATCACAAGGTTACCCTGAGATTTCCAATGGACCCAATGCTTTGTGTCTGGAGAAAAATTTAGAGAGTGTTTTCAGCTTCTGATACACAGAAAAACCTAATTAGTTCTATTCAATAGTTAATCAGACATGCACTTGGCGTTTGGAAAACAAATTACTGCTGTTAGGTGATGCAAGATTTCCTGGGAGAGTGCTGTTCTCATGATCTTTAGCACAAAAACACGGGGCAATCAGAATGCTGCCTGCCAGACAAAGCCAGGAAATTATTGCAGATGGCTTAGAATTCGGGCTGGGTTTCACCTGTGGAAGGAAGGGAGACACAACTTGGGCATCTGAACACCAGAGAGGGTGTAAATGGGATATCCAGAGAGGTGTGAACCTGCCCCACATTGGCTTTGTCACATTGTTTTAATGGTCACAGAATCCCAGGATATGCTGAGTTGGAAGGGACCCACAAGGATCATCGAGTCCAACTCCTGGCCCTGTAGAGGACCATCCCCAAGGGTCACCCCCTGTGCCCCAGATGATCACCCAAACCCTCCTGGAGCTCTGGCAGCCTTGGGGCTGTGCCCACTGCCCTGGGGAGCCTGGGCAGTGCCAACCACCCTCTGGGGGAAGAACCTTTCCCTGAGATCCAGCCTGGCCCTGCCCTGGCACAGCTCCAGCCCTTCCCTGGTGCTGTCCCTGGTCCCCCCAGAGCAGAACTCAGTCCCTGCCCCTCCTCTGCCCCTCACAAGGCAGTTGTAGACTACAACCAGACTACAACAAGTTACTAAGGGGAAGTGTTTCCCAGCCCCCAGCCCTGCTCCCCTGCCCCGGGGAGGAGCCAGAACTTCAGAAGCACTCCCGCTCTCCCCTTCAAGGCAGACACATCCCTTTAATAGGCCAAGCTTGCATTACTAATGTTTTCATCAGCCAGAGCAAAGTAAATCCATTAGTCACAGTGTCCTTCATGTGATAATGATGTTTAGCGCTCATTAAAAAGTAATTGTAACCACTTTTCCCTACTTTATCAGCAGGATTCAGCTGGTGATTTGATGATCAGAAGCATCCAGCTGAAGCACGCAGGGAAATACGTCTGCATGGTGCAAACAAGTGTGGACAAGCTCTCGGCTGCTGCAGACCTGATTGTAAGAGGTATTTGAATTTTGTTACTGTTGTTGTTGTTGTTGTTGTAAAATTTCTCCTTTTTTTTTTTTGCTTTTTTTCCCCCCAGCATCTTGTAATTAATTTGAGAAAAAAAACCTGTGAGCACGCACTGGGGTTCACACCACATTTTCAAACAGTGCCTGTGGTGTGTTTCAGATACACACCCTCATCCAGCAGACACAACTCACGTAAACACGTCGTGTTTGTGTCCTAAATGCCAAACCTGCACCAACTGAGCTCGTTTGTTTGATGAACTGTGCAGCAGAAGCAGCATTCAGGTTATTCACTGCACTTCTGCCAAGTAATATTATTCCTTTTCTGGGATAAATGTGATTTAGGAACTTCATTGATATTTCAAGATCTATTCATTACCATGCACGGGTGATGTGTAAGTAGGACTTTAACAGAGCTGTAATTAGTTACCCTGAGTCTGCATCCTTACAATAAATATATATATTTTCTTGCTTGTTGACTTTGGGGAAAGCAAACTTTGTTGCTCCTCTGTTCCTTGATTCTCACAGACCCCAGGAACTTCATAGAATCCTTTAGGTTGGAAAAGCCCTCTAAGAACATCAGTCCAACCATTCCCCCAGTGCTGGCAAGGCCACCACTAACCCATGTCCCCAAGTGCCACAAACACGTGGCTTTTAAATCCCTCCAGATATGGTGGTGACTCCACCCCTGGCCTGGACAACCTGTTCCAATGCTTGACAACCCTTCCCATGAAGAAATTTTCCTGAATATCCAATCTGTACATCTCCTGGCACAACATGAGGCCTTTTGCTCTTGTCCTCTCCCATGTTCTCCACGTGAGTTCGCAGGCAACTCAGTGAAAGGAGGAGAGCTTGAAAAAAATAGTAAGAAATCCCCTTTTTCACTGGCTCTCAGTTTTTTTGCTGCAGCACGATTTCAGATGATTTTTTTTGTTGTTTAGCTCAAACATTTCAACAGAGGCTGCTCCAGGCACCTCAGTTGGGTAATTTCCTTAGTGCTGCCTCTGTAAACAAACAGGAGGAACATTAAATTCTCACAAGAAAATGACCCTGGGTGATGATAAAATACCAATCTTGTCACTTGTTACAAATATTGAAGGTGGTAAAACACAGAAACAGGGTGCCCAGAGAAGCTGTGGCTGCCCCATCCCTGGGAGTGTCCAAGACCAGGTTGGATGGGGCTTGGAGCAACCTGGGCTGGTGGAAGGTGTCCCTGCCCGTGGAAAGGGGTGGGATGAGATGAGCTTTAATCTCCCTTCCAACCCAAACCATTCTGGGATTCTGTGACCAACAGGATGTCTTCATCCAGGCCAGTGATGCCACAGCTGCACTGAGAGTTGTGCTGTAGAGAAATAGGGAAATATCCCTGGGCTGTGAGACCAGGAGCAGGAGGTGAATGGCTGGTGCATCAATAGAACCTTCAGAATAATTGTTAGGAGTTTTTAAAATATTGGAATTGTGTCAAAATAATAAGAGATACTAGGTTAAAAAAACTGGATACTAGAAAAAAAAAAGAATTATTTATCTCAGGGAATATGAAACAATGATATAGAAATCATAGTTATTCCCAGCCATGAAGTGAATGCAACTTGTTTCAAACTCTGCCAATCTGTAGGAGCAATTTGTGAAAAATACAGTGAAATTCCAACTGCTCCCTGAGCCTGTGTTACGTGGCTGCTCCCCCCAGCAAAAACAATTTAAAGTTTTAATTTCTCAGAAATTAAATCTGGCTAGACCTGCTGAACTTTCATTTTATAGGTAGGATATTGGAAGATTTCAGGGTATTTTAGATATTTAACCATGTCCAGCTCTCTGAATATCATATGAGAATGCTTTTAGTCCACAGAGTGAGTTGCAAGAGGAGAGTTTGCTTGAGTACCTAAAGGGTACCTTGATCCAGTACCTAAAGGAGCTCCAAGAGAGGTGGAGAGGGACTTTAAACAAGGGCCTGGAGTGACAGGACAAAAGGGAATGGTTTCAAAATGACAGAATGAAGGGTTAGATGGGATACTGGGAAGAATTTTTTGCCTGTAAGGGTGGGGAGGCCCTGGCACAGGATCCCAGAGAAGCTGTGGCTGCCCCATCCCTGGAAGTGTCCAAGGTTGGACAGGGCTTGGAGCAACCTGGGCTAGTGGAAGGTGTCCCTGCCCATGGCAGGGGGTGGGATGAAATGATCCTTAAGTTCCCTCCCAACCCAAACCATTCAGGGATTCTCTGGGATGGGAAGAGGCTGCACCTCAGGTACCACTTCCAGGAGCAATGGCCACGTGAGAGAGGAGAGAGGTCTCTCCCTGACTGGTGTGTCCTGCTGCCTTTACTGATTAAGAAGAACCTGGCAGTGAAGCAGAACATACTGGTGTCTCCCTGGGCATAGTGCTGCTGTATCTCCCTGGCTGTGGTGCTGGTGTATCCATGGTGCTGGTGTATCCATGGTGCTGGTGTATCTCCCTGGGAATGGTGCTGGTGTATCCATGGTGCTGGTGTATCTCCCTGGGAATGGTGCTGGTGTATCTCCCCAGTGCCTCCCAGTCTCATCCAGGCAATGAGAGCTGGGCCTGCACCAACTCCTCTACAGGGACTTCTCTGTCCTGAGTGAGGGAAGATGACCCCTTGAACCACCTCACCCACCCCTCTCCTGCCATGCTCCCACAGGTCCCCCCGGCCCCCCTGAGGCCGTGACGATCGACGAGGTGACGGACACCACGGCCCAGCTGTCCTGGAGGCCGGGGGCTGACAACCACAGCCCCATCACCATGTACGTGGTGCAAGCAAGGACCCCCTTCTCGGTGGGCTGGCAGGCAGTGAGCACAGGTAAATCCATAACCCGGCCCCTCCGAGCTCCGCTGCTGGAAAACACATCCATCGGGATGCACACGTGGACCAGCTCTGCTCCCTGATGTGAGAAGCAATTTCCCTGGCTGCAGAGCGCTGCTCTTATTAACTAGTTTCAGGTTTGGCAACCCAAAGATTTAGGGTCCAGTCAGTGCTATTACTCATCCATTTTTCTCATGAATGTTTAAGGGAAAACAGAATGAATTCCTCTCCTTTGTTGCCACGCTGGAGATATACAACAGTAATTGTGGTCTATAAAGACATCCCTCAGGGACAGCCCGTGTCATCTGGCCTATCTTAAAGTGGAATTATTTCCCTGATAGAGGGAAAAATCCCATGGTGTAATTGCTCATTCCGTCAGAGGTTAATTTTGTTCCAGTAACCATTAAGTAGAGGGAACAGTGTGTTTTAAAAAGAGAAAAATAAAACCGCTTTAAACCTGTTGTCTTGACACTTTGTTTTTGAACAGTGGCAACTTAGGAGAAACTCTTTAATAGCAGGAATTTCTGGGCTAAAAACACAGTGGTCTAATGCTACCTCTTGGACATCTTTGCAGTTAGAAAGATGACAAAAGGTTTATCAGTCCTTATTCGCTCTGTATTTACGTTAAACGCTCGCTTTTAAGGAAATCAGATTTCTCTGTGCCTTTTTCTCAGAGCTTTGAACATTTTAGTGGCTTTCCTTGCATTCCTGACCCACGACTGTCTCCAGTTCCAGAGGTCATCGATGGCAGGACGTTCACAGCCACAGTGGTGGGGCTGAACCCTTGGGTGGAGTACGAATTCCGAGTGGTGGCTGCCAACCTGATCGGGATCGGGGAGCCCAGCAGACCCTCAGAGAAGAGAAGAACTGAAGAAGCTCGTAAGTAGGGGTGGGCAACACACTTAAATCTTGTGGAATAAATGCTCACCAGTGCCAAGAGATACCTCAGTTATGGGCAACCCTTGGCAGGTGGCTGCTCTGTTCTTTTTTAGCCCGTAAGGGAACCAAATATGAAACAGGAAAATAAATAAAAGCCCCTCTTTATGGAAGACAAATGTTTAAACTAAACAATTAGAGACTGAATACACAAGTTAATTGACATACTTTTAATATACTATTATTGACATACTTTTAATGTGCTGTTTGCCATGGTAAATTAGTCACTTTAATGGCATTCCTGGTACCAACAGGGGAAGGGCAGCAGAGTCCTGTCACTGCACAGGTCTGTTCCACCTCAGTGTGCTATTATTATTATTATGGTTTCAAAGTTGTCACATTTCGCCTCTGCCTCTATTTGTTTGCAGTTCCTGAAGTGACCCCAGCTAATGTCAGTGGAGGTGGAGGGAGCAAGTCTGAGCTGGTCATTACCTGGGAGGTGAGTCTCAGCCCAGAGCCCAGTGAAGCTCCTGGAGATTTCAAACGGTTTGCAGTAAAAAAAAAAAAAAAAGCCCAGATTGTGTGATAAAAACAGCACAACTATTAAAATGGAGCCAGAGGACTTCCCTTCCCAGGCCCCTGTGCAGGGCAGCCAGCAAGGAAGTGCTGGGCAGGGGACACAGGGACACCAGCTCAGCTCCCCCTGAACCCCAACACATCCCTACGGCAAAACACGGATGGGCAGAAACACCTGAGGGATAAAACAGGCACATCCTGACCAGTCTGGCTGGTTCAAGCTCCATCCCTCATCCTGTATGGGATGTCAGGCAGCAAACAGTTAAGAGCCAGCACAAGGCATGCTGGCTCTCAGTGCTGCTCATGGCAGCCAGCACGAGGAGATACAGAGATGAAAAATGTTTAATATTCCATGAGGCACACGGGGTTAGAACTTTAGTCATTTGTCTGCTCATATTTCCCTGTTGTGATGCAATGCAGCTGGCATATTTTTCCTAATAATGAACTTCACCAGCCATGCTAACACTTCCATTTAGCACTATTTCTGACCAAGCTGGCAGAATGAATCGCCAGAGATATTTTTAAGGTTATTAAAAACCTATAAATGGGTTTCTGTCCTCGCCACACGGCTCAATGTGCTAAATTTCCTCCTCTGTTGGGCTAATTAGCTACGCCGTGTCTCCTAAAGATACTGCAATATGTTTCAAAAACACACATGGCAAGAACAGCAGACATTGGTTTGAGTCGTAATTTGCACAAAATATAATTTGTGTTTTGATAGAACAGTCGTTTCACGGGTTTAAATGTCCAGAGGCTTTTCCTTTATGGGCTGGTGTGGCCTTACAGCACAGAGGAAGGACTGAGCAGCACTAACCCCTGCACCGGCTTCAGCACCACGTCTGTGGGAGAGTGGCCCATAATTAGGGATTGTTTGAATACTTTTGGTTTAATGCAGCTTTTTAAGGGGCTGGCAGCCTGAGAGTGGGGAGTGTCAGTGTGTCCAGGGTATTGTTCAGGGCTTCACATGCGATTCCAAAGGCACGAGAGCACATGGGAAAGCAGGAACCATGTCCTTGGTTCACCCCAACAAACCTCAGACTCTTAGTCGTGGCAGTGCCTAAAATTAGATCAATAATGGAGGCTCCATCTAGTCAGTAGAGGAAGGTGAATTAGGTCTCAGGAGAAGTGTCTTCTGGAGGTGCTGCATTCCTCTGAGAAGGAGCAGAAAGGCAGGATGGGATAATTCAGGACTCCGTCCGCCTCCCATCTCCAGCGCTCTGTTCAGAACAGCAGCTTTAGCAGCACTGAGAGGCAACACCCAGCGTGCAGAGGGGCAGGTCAATGTGTGCCATTGCTGAAGGTTCCCCCACAGCCATTGCTGTGTTTCTCCTGCCCACAGACGGTGCCCGAGGAGCTGCAGAACGGGGGTGGCTTTGGCTACGTGGTGGCGTTCCGGCCCTTCGGCACCGTCAGCTGGATGCAGACGGTCGTGGCCTCCCCCGATGCCTCCAGATACGTGTTCAGGAACGAGACCCTGCCGCCCTTCTCGCCCTACGAGGTCAAGGTCGGGGTGTACAACAACAAGGGCGAAGGGTCCTTCAGCCCCGTCACCGTCGTCTACTCCGCAGAGGAAGGTAGAGCCAGGAGCTCAGCCCACCCTCCTCCCCCCTCCCCGGGTTCTGCAAGGGTTTAGTTTCCACCTTGGCGTATCCTTTGATACCTGAGCTCTGCTCTGATTTCTAATAAATGGCGAGCCGTGATGGATTCTTTTCGTAGTCATTAAAATAACATTAATCGTAATGAAATCTTTTGATATTAATGGAAAAGTAATATGTAATCTGGAAAGAATTCCGCTGAGATTTAGCATGAATTAATGGCCACTGATTAGAAAATGTTCCCACTTGTCCTAATTACAGTACATGGTATCCTGGGCTGAGTTTAGCAATGACATATTATTTCTTAGGTGGAGGAGCCAGTGCTGCCCAGCACAACCTGACAGGCCCTGGGTTTGAAACCTGCACATTTGTTTGCTTCTTTTCTCATGCAATGAAGAAAATAAATCCCTTGACATTCGGGACTAATTGAACATAAAATTGAAAAGTCTTCCTTTTATTTTTAACCACACAGAGCCAACGAGAGCCCCAACCACTGTTTTGGCCAGAAGTCTTTCTGCCTCAGACGTTGAAGTTTCGTGGGCTCCCCCTTGGGAGAACCAGCACAAAGGAAGGATACAGGGATATGAGGTATGGAGGCAGAGTGCAGGAGCCTTTCAGTAAAAAACCTTGAGGAGATGTGGAGACACATCCTGGGCAGTCCCCATGGTGTTGCTCCTCCTGCCCTGGGGCTGGTGTGTTCCTGGGGTGGATGTGCTTCTCTTTGCCTCTTCAGTGAGCAGAGAATTCTCTCAGGTGGTTAAAAATGACACATCTGTCTGTGTGTGATCTGGCTGGAAATGGAGAGCAGAGCTTGCAGGGAGGACCTGTGTGAAGGTGTCCCATGGCCAGGCAGTGCCCGAGCTCCTGGGGAGGGAGCACTACAGCCAGGATGGTCCCAAACAGGGAACAGGAAGGGCTGGGGCAGGATGCAGGATCTGTCCTGTGGGCACAGTTAGTGCTGGAAGTGAAGGGTGCTGCCAGCCCATGGCTGGAGGTGGGCACGTCCCTGCTCTGTTCCCAGGTCAGGTGTTGGCGACACGACGAGAAGGAAGAAAACGCCAAAAGGATTCGGACAGTCGGCAACCAAACCTCTACAAAGGTCGGCAACCTGAGGGGCAATGCCCTGTACCACCTGGCAGTCAGGGCCTACAACACGGCTGGCACCGGCCCCTCCAGCGCCCCCGTCAACGTCACCACCAAAAAGCCACGTGAGTGTTGGGAGTGTGGGGGGCTCTGGCCTGGGGGGGCTCTGCCAGGGCTCCCCTCTCTCATTTTCAAACCCTCTTGACCCTGCCAGAGCTGTCAGACTTCTCTTTGTCAGGTTTTTCTGCATGAGCCTTACCAGGCTCAGCCTTTTCACTCGATTTTGTTTTGGAAGGCTCCTCTCCCCAGTGTTAAGTAAGCAGAGCATGCAAAACCCAAATCACAGCTGTGCAGGCAAATTAAATATTTATCTCATCGTTCAAGAGGGCTTTTTTCTTCTGGGCTCAGGCATGTTGAACAACTGACTGAATCCTTTTTTCATTGAGAGCACTGTGTCGTGTCACACCTCCTGTGACCTGGAGGACACAGATCAGTGAAAGAACTCGTTAGCTTTCCAGAGGGAAGGACTCCAGGCAGGCTCAGCTCTGGTGGTAGAAGCCTCATTGGTGCTGGGAGGGATCCAGCTGGGAAAAGGTACTCCTTAGTGATAGCATGCCCTGTGTGTTTTGGTGTAGCACCGAGTCAACCCCCCGGGAACATCATGTGGAATTCATCTGACTCCAAGATCATCCTGAACTGGGACCAGGTCAAAGCACTGGACAACGAGTCAGAAGTGAGAGGCTACAAAGTGAGTATTTCCACGAGCCCAGTGTCAAGCTGGGGTTTATAGTAAGACCAGACAAGATGTTTTCCATGGCTTTCCAGGTTAAAAATTGGGACATTCCCCCAAAAACAGAGGCCATGCCTATGTAACATGAGCACATTCTTCCCACTGCTCCCCTCGCCCCTGTGAGGGGGTCTCAACCCATGGACCTTTACCTGCTCCTCCCTCTGGAGCTCCCACCTCCAGGACCCCTCTCCTGCCATGGTGAAAGCCTTCCAAAGGCTGTAGTTCGCTCCTTGATTGCAGATAAATAAAATGCTCTTTTAATAGCTCCCATTTCCTTCAGAAAGCAAAGCCAAAAGGAGAAGGAAGAGAATCCTCATTAGTAGCAGTTTTAATAGGATATAATTGAACTAGAGAGAAATCTTGGGAAGAATTCAGCTCCATCACCTTACACAAGGGCTTCATTTGGCCCAGAGAAGATGTCGGTGTTTGATTTCCAGACCTTGCCTTGGGGGTTGAGCTGTGCAAACATTTCCCACCAGAGCCTGAGACAATGAAGGACCTGGCCATGCTTTGTGTTTTGTTCCCAGTCTGGAATGCCAGCGGCATCAGCTTGAGGAGCCTGTGCCAGCTCTCCTGAGTTTCTGCACTTACTTTTAAGTATCTTTGCTGCACTGCATGGGCTTATCAAAAAGAAGTAACTCCTCAGGGTTTTTAGTCCAAACCTCAGATGAACCTCGGCAATCTGGACCAACTTTTCACTACATATTTTAGGTTTGAAATGCAAATTAAGAAGTCATTTGAAAGAGGGAGACAGAGACTTGTCACCCCGAAAAAGCAAACTGCATCTAGTGGGTTCCTACAACGTCCTCTTTCAACTCCCTGTTAGGACAGCAGGACCAGATGGGTTTCTTCCTGACTCATAGCAAAACATTGCCTGTTTTTCTTGGTTTTTCCTAGAAATCTTATATTTTATGTCACAATTTATGATGTAAATTAATAGAACTCCCAGATCTCAGAAGGTCACTCGCAAAAGTCATTTATTCTGGGAAGCTGTCGGTGGCACTGCATGAAATGTTCCAACTCAGTTTCCTGAAGAAATGTCATAAGTTTCTGACTTCTGTAAATAAGTGTTTACTTATACAGGGGTTTATTTTAGCTTGGTGAAGGTACAGGTGTCACCTCTCTGACCTGGCACTGGGTCCCCAGCAAATCCCACGTGTCCCCTCTGTGACCAGACCACATCTGAGCGTCGGGGGCAGGAAAGGAGCAGCGGCGACTCTGGACGTGTTCAGGCTCTGCCCTCTCTGTTCTCTCTCCCTTCCCCGCAGGTGTTGTACAGGTGGAACAGGCAGAGCAGCACATCTGTGATAGAAACCAATAAAACCTCCGTGGAGCTGTCCCTGCCCCTGGACGAGGATTATATCATCGAGATCCGGCCCGTCAGCGATGGTGGCGACGGCAGCAGCAGCGAACAGATCCGAATCCCAAAGATCTCGAGTAAGGACGGGAGGAATTGGGGTCCGTTCCATGGGGAGCCAGAGTCCTGCAGGGACCAGGGCTGTGTATCCCAGCAGGGCTGGCTGTACTTCCAACCATTTCCCAGGCTGGGAGCTGAAACCCAGAAAGGCAAGGACCAGCGTTCCAGCTCCTGGTTCTGATTTCATCCCAAACCCAAGATTAAACCATAAGAAACGCCATCCTAAGTAGTTATATTTGTATTTAAGATCTCTAGACACTTTCCACTCTCTCCCTTCCATACTCATATATAGGTTGAATATATTGTTTCACTGCAATTTGCTATAACCAAATACAAAATGCAGTGTTGGAAGCTTTTAAATTTATAAGGCTACTGTATAGCCATATCCCATTGTGTGTTGGAGGCATAAATATTTATTTAGGGAAATGAGGTTGTGTAGAAGAACAAACAGAAAGAGTATTTTATTACACAACATGGCTTTTGCAAAATCTCCATGTCCCATCTTCCATTAATAATGGCCCAGTTTATAAGCTGCATTAAATCAGGAGCCTCTGCAATGCAGGAATATGGCATTAAAATTACAGCAATGTGAAAAACCCTGGGTGAGAGCAGAATTCTCTCCACTGTGGCTGTATAAACCATGCAGAGGAATTTAATCAGCAGGCACAGGAGAGGGAAGGAGAGCTGGAACACCTGCCAGCTCTGATTTGGCTCAAGGCTGTGGGTCACCGAGCAGGTACACGGCTCCTCCAGGATGGGAGTTGTGCCAGGCTGGGGCCAGAAGTAACAGCTTGAAAAGAGCACAGTTGTGAAAAATAACAAAATAGTGAGTAACCAGGGTGTGAAAGCATGTAATTGTGAAAGTAACCTCAACAAAACAGTGGCAGGAATTGAAATTAAACCAAAAATTCAGCTGGAGAGGTGACATGTGTTCTCTGCTCATTGTGGGCTTCTTCTCTCCCTCTCTCCTCTCTCCCTCTCTCTTCTCTCCTCCCTCCTCTTTCTCTCCCTCCTCTCTCCCTCTTT